CTTTGCCACCTTCGCTTAGAACCAATTAGTGTGCCGGTAAACCACACACGCTCCACTAACATCTTAGCAAGGTGCAAAGTGTAATTTCATGGGATTGCATCAATTCACTTTTCCTAAAGTAACTAAGATTGGGAAATTTTTAAAAAAAGTTTAGTTACTTCGTATTTCTTATTATACTTTTAATGAGAGGATGAGGTTGCCCTATCCTACCCGTTCGGCTAACGACCCTCCACCAATCAAGCAAGCGGTGGGTGTGAGTGTACACCCATTAAGCGCCATTTTATAGGCCGCAACCTTATACCCACCTTATAGATCGGCTTCGTGAATGAGGCCTACTAGCGGTAAGACTAGCATTTAGTTATACATATATATATTATTCTAATAATATCATATAAGTATAGGGTTGCATTTTAAACTTTTCAAAATCTAGGGTTTGAAATTTAAGTTGTCTAAATTAAAGCTTGTAATCACAAATATAAATTTCAAAACTATAGGGTAGGTTTTAAACATTTAAAAAACATGGAGGAGCAAATAACAAATAATTCCAATTAACAATTTAATATTCTAATTATCTTTATTTGATTTATCTTGATTTCTTTGAAGATAATTACCAAAAATAATTAATTATTATCATATAAGGAAATTAAATATTTTATTAGATGATAAATATCTTTAATTAGATCAAGATAACAGTCATATTTATCAAAAAATCGGATTTACATTGATCTAATATGATTAAGGTAAGTTTCCATAAGATAATTATGAAAAAATCCCGAATCTGGCCATTCCTGACGCTTGGACTCGCCGAGTGCACAAGGGGACTCGACAAGTCAGGCTTTACTCGACGAGTCCACCTTGGAACTCGACGAGTCAGTGACTCAAAACCCAAAAAAATCGAATTTTGCAGGTTTGTTTCAGTTATTCAAGCAACAATTTGTAGAAAACCAATCTAGGCTCTGATACCACTGTTGGGTTTTAGCCATAAGAACTTTCCTATGTGCGCATGCAAAACCCTATTGCTTGGATCTAGACTTTCTAATAAACATGCTTTGAATCCAAGACTTCTAATAGCTAATTAGGTTAAACAACAACATTAAAACAGATCTAGAATCATACCTTTGAATCCCTTGTTGATCTTGTTGTCTTGGAGCTTCTAGAGTCACAATTGTCACTCCTCTAGTGGCTTACAAACACCAATAGCAAGCAAGATGATTTAGGAGAGAGGAGAGGGGATAGAATTCGACCAGAGGTTCCTTGCTTTAGGTTCTGAAAGGTTGTACACGAATTCCACATCCCAAGGGCCTATTTATACCTTTAGACTCCTTAAGGGTTTCACCCTAAACCCTAATTGGATAATCTTCTCTTAAGGCTATCCAAATCCATTCCATAGATATCCCTATGGACGATTTTGAGCTATCCTAAAGCTCTTAGAATCCGTCCAAGGTCCATCCTAATGGATTTATAGTCTAAAGTCTAACTATCAAACAATTGACAGTTTATACCCTCTTATTTAATTAATCTCTTTAAGTCACCAAATTAATACCAATTAATTTATGACTTATATTAATCAAATAGCTAAATATTATTCCTTATAATATTTACTCTCTCTCTTAATAAATCATCCTTCAAGTTGCTATGGTGAAGGCAACCCAAAAGGACCATGCACCACCGAATATAGTTATAGCCTTAGACACTATTCCAACAAAGATATCACTAAGGATTTCATCACCAAGCTTCCCAAGATGGCACGTGGAGTAGATTCGATTTGGATCATCATAGGCTGGTTGACCAATAGCACTCATTTCATCCCGATCTAGGAGAGTATATTAGCTGAGAAGGTAGTCAAGATCTATGCTTACGAGGTGGTGGCACATCATGGAGTATCGGTTTCAGTGGTGTCAGATCGAGATATTCGTTTCACTTCCAGGTTTTGCAAGCGATTTCATGATGAGATGGGTACTCTTCTTTATTTTAGGATAACTTTTCACCTCAGACTGGTTGCCAGAGTGAGAGGACAATCCAGACTCTCGAGGACATGGTACGCACATGTGTATTGGATTTTGGCTGTAGTTGGGATACATATCTTCTGTTAGCAGAATTTTCGTATAACAATAGTTATCACGACATCATAGATCGACCTCCCTTTGAGATGCTCTAAGGGAGGAAATACAGAACCCCAATATGTTGGGGCGAGGTTGGTTAGAGAGTCATGGAGAGTACTAAGGTGGTACTCAAGACCATAGAGAAGATCCAGCAGGTCTAGAGCAGGCCCCAGACTGCTCAGAGTCGGCGGAAAAGTTATGCTGACAAGTGTCGTTTAGACCTAGAGTTTCAAGTAGGGGATATGGTCCTCTTGAAGGTGTCACCTTAGAAATGTATCATCCGATTCAGGAAGCGGGCAAGCTGGGCCCCAAGTATATCAACATTTATAGAGTTTCAGATCAGGTAGGCCGTTTAGCCAATCGTTTAGATCTTCCAGCAGAGCTTAGCCAGATCCATAACACTTTTCATGTCTCCCAGTTGCAGAAGTTTTTGGTGGATGATTCCATAGTTGTGCCTCTAGAGGATATTCAGGTTGATGACAGCCTAAACTACAATGTGAGACCAGTGGCGATTCTGGATCACAAGATGAAAACCTTGAGGAACAAGGTTGTGCATTTGGTAAAGGTGCAGTGGATGCACCGTAAGGGGCCATAGTGGACTTTGGGAGCCCGAGGAGGAGATGAGATAGCACTATCCAGAGTTATTTGAGACAGCAGAATTCGAGGACGAAGTCTAAGACAAGTGGGGGAGAATTGTAACGCCCGATTCTTGGTAAGCATTTAATTTATAAATTATTCATTTTTACAGTACAACTCGACAAGTTAGAAGCCCCAAACTTGTCAAGTAGAGATTGTCAGAACTGCGTGATTTAATTGACGTACTCGATGAGTTAAGAGGCCTCAACTCGACGAGTAGATCGGCTTGGAAGAAACCGTAATTTCTAGGGTTTTTCACCCTATTGAAAGGACTTAATCCTTTCCCTCAACCTCTCATCAGCCTCCCTGAAACCCTTAATCGTATTGTGAGCTCTTTGGTGAGAAACTAAAAGTTTTGAGTGGATTTGTGTGTGTTTTTGTGCTTGGTAAAGGAGTTGGAAGAACTAGAAGCCATCAAGCTTGAGAAGAAGCATTAGATCTGGGATCTCGTCTATCTTTGGCATCTTTTTAAGGTAAAAATTCCTTAACTTGGTGATTCATAGCTTGGATCTCTTTTACTTTTGCTTTATGGGTCTTTTTGACCCCATTGTGGGAAACATGATACCCTTAATAGATCCTATGCTAAGGATTCCCATTTCCAGTGATATTTGGTCTTTAGAATCATAACAATGGTCTTAAACCCATTCTTGTCCAAGAGAAGACCATGTTCATGGAAGTAGGTTGCTATGTCTCGAGTTTGGGTCCATCTGAGGTATACAAAGCCATCAAGTGGTCAACTTTACATAAATAGGTTATGGAAACAATATGGATCTATATTCTAGAACCTTGGATCTGAGAAAAGGGCTGAATAGACTAGAAATGCAAGGACTCGACAAGTTCATTGAGGAACTCGACGAGTTTGGTCGAACATTCCCGATTCTGTTCATGGAACTCGGTGAGTCCATAAGATAACTCGACGAGTTGTACTAGGAAGTCTCGTTTGTGTTGAGATGGAGGAACTTGGCAAGTTGGAGGAATACTCGACAAGTTAGATCACGATTCACGATTCTATGATTCAATAGAACTCGACGAGTTAATCGGTAAACTCGACGAGTTGAGTCAACTCAGAGCGTTAACTTTGACTTGACTTTGGATTTGACTTGACCAGAGTTGACCTTAAGGGTTATGAGTATGGAATGGTATCTAAGGAGTTGTTTTGGTTCAGGGAGTGAGTAGAGCTGATTCTAGGCAGACACGTTTCAGCTATCATCCGAAAGTGAGGTGAGTTTCCTCCTGTAGGAACGAGTCGAAGGCACCAATACCAGCCCGTTTATGTATGTTAGTATATTCCGGACAAAGGTCTGATATCGGGCAGTGCCCAATGTAGGTTTATATGTTATGGGACTTCCGTCTAATGCCGTGGAAAGCCCGATTAATGTTTGTATGCTTGATGTCTTCGTGATTCTCGCATGTGATTGTTTTATATGTTTCCGGACTTCGGTCTGATGCCGGTGAAAGCCCTAGGAATGTTTGTATGTTTTCGGATTTCGGTCCGATGCCGACCGTGGCCCAAGAAATGTTTATATGTTTATGGTATGTGATTATTTATGTATTTGTTGATATGCTTATATGTATACCGACCTTTGCCGAATGCTGGGTGCGGCCCGATGTTGCGGGTAAGGCCCATGTTATGTTATTATGTGATTATATGATTATGTATGGTAGGTGGTAGTTTGGGGTGACTCACTAAGCTTCGTGCATACAGTTTTCAGTTTTGATTTCTGATACTTCCGGTAGCAAAGAGAAGAGTTCGGGATGACTGCAGTGCTCACACCATGTTTTAGCTTGGGATGTTTTTACTCTGATATGTTTGACAAATGTTTATGATGTTTTGAGAAACAATAACTTATGACTTTTATGTATTGATTTGATAACTATGATTTTATTAATAATTAAAAACAAAATTTTTCGAATTTATTTTTGAGATTTTACAAACCATTACCCAACCATGTCACTTTAGGACCGACAAGATCATAGAAGCACAATAGGTGAGTTGTTTGTAGAGTAACATAATGAGATGTCCGTGTATCAAAGAGCCATGATGTGTATCATTTTGGTAGGGTGTTGGTGAAATGTGCTTCAAGAGTGACATGGTTGTACAAGATAAATAAAGATAGATGTTAATATTGTCATGTAAAATGTCTTGCATGTCAAAAAAGCTATAAAAGTTTTTGAGGATTGTAAATTGTCATTGGATTGGAATTCTTAGAATCCGATCGAACAACCTTTTCTGTTTCTAATTCTATGTGAGAAAATTAGAGTGGGTAATATATTGCCTTGAATAGAAGCTACCATATATTTGAATTCATCTACTATGTTATGAAGCACAAATACAACTTCATCTTCATCATCTATGGGGTCCCTGACTAGTACAAGATTTTCAACAACTTGTTTCGTGTCTTCTAGGTATTCTTGAATTGTTTGGCGTCCACCTCCATTGTCAATCAATTTCTTTTTAAGAGATCATTTCATAATAAGATCTGTAAAGTTTGGCATATAAGATTCTGCCATATTGTCATGCTTCTAAGCAAGTTATGAAAAAGGAGATGTCAGGCTGGATGGGACAATAGGAGCTTCCTAACATTGTACTAATAATGTAATCTTGGCAATATCAATTTTCAGAATTTGGCTATGTTGCTATTGACAAAGAGAGCTCATTCAAGTCCTGCTTGATGTGTTCTCACAAGTGGTTTCATTCGATCAAAGTTCCAAATATACCTGAACCCCATGGGTGAATTGAAAGACACGATCAATATGATAAAAATATTTTGTTTCATAGGAAAAGAAGCATAATACGTTACCATAACAGTTTAGTACTTCTGCTAACCTAAGGTGTCTGGTTGCTACCGGAAACGACTTTTTCAAAAGCACCCACTAGAGCTCTGACTTTGCTCTGCCTTGTCTGAATAAGTTTGTTAGCAGTCTCTTCAATAACTTTGTTGGACAATGTAGGACTTTCCTTTTCTTCTATTTCTTGGTGTTTAAGATCAACACTAACTGAATGACTTTCAGGTATATGTATCACGCCATCAGTTGACATTCTCCTCAAAATTATCTTCTCAACCTTCTCAGTTTCGTTATCATCCAACTCGTTTCCTTGCCTGAACTGCAGATTTCTTGGACTGCTACCCTCGGATAAAGGACTAGTTAGCACCCTTCCTCTTATGAATTCTAGGCCTTCAAGAGAACAATCTGTAGTTTCCACCACCAACTTTCCAACCCGTATGGCCTCTTTTGCATCATTGACTTCTGTATCCACTATGCTTTCATTATGTTGATCATCCACTGCTGTAAAATCATCTTCCTTCAGTGCTGAACATTCTTCTATCCCGTTATTATCATGTGTCACGACATTCTCCTCGAAACTTGGAGAAGAATCATGCGTAGTAGTACTTTCGGTTTTATTAGTTTCAACAGCATCGTTGGGCTCAACGACATGCAACAGGCTTTCAGCAGTTTCAACGTCGTTGTTGGGCTCTATGACTTGCATCACGTTATGATCATGTGTCATGACTTTCTCCTCGGAGCTTGGAGAAGAATCTGAAGGTGTAGTAGTACATTCGGTTTTATTAATTTCAACAACATCGTTGGGCACGACGACATCCACTAGGGTTTCAGTAATTTCAACATCGTTGTTGGGCTCCACGACATGCAATGTCTTTTCTGGAACAACTTCTTCAGTAGGTTTCCTAGGCTTTGACTTTCTTGGACTTTTAAGCTCCGATTGAGGGAGACTTTTATAGCTTCTCAACAACGGCACCCTCGCACCTCTTTTTGGGCTGGAAACTGTAGGGTTTGTAGAATTAGGTTTCTTATTCACCGAGACTTTTGAATCTTTTCTTTGTTCGTTCTTGCTGAATCTTGAACCTCGAACCAAAGACGTATTAGAACCTGATACAACATCTTTCTTAGGTTGTATACCGAATTCACTGAGTCGTCTTTTAGGAACTCTTGAAGATGAGAGCGGCATATCATCATTCGGTAGAAAGATGTCACTATGTCTTCTTCTAGATGTTTTTGACTGTGGAGGAATGTATTTCTTGGCTTGCGAATTCTCAGACTTTGGCTTCATATCTCGACTCTTTGGTTCAATGGCATCGCCTTTCTTGGTTGATAATGTTAAGCCATCTTTCTTTACATTTGCATCCTTAACAACAATATTGTTCTTGACATTGCGTGATGTGATCTTGGGAACAATCGAAGGTGATTTCTTAATCCTGTTTACGGAATTCGATGCTTCCAGCTTTGTTCTATCCAGAGAGGCTCTTGGAATTCTTCTGGGAAACAAATTTATGGGCTTTGTTTCGGTTGGTTCTTTAGTGGCACCTTTGCAGTGATCATGGCAAGAAACTGATGGACCGTTGAGATATCGACTTTGAACTTTTGGAGCCGTGGGCTCCATTTTTGTTCGAGGTGGGTTTTTCCGCATAAGGGATGTGAATACTATCAATCGTGTGAGTTGATACTCCTATAGAAATTAATAATGCATTGTAAAACATGCTTCCAGAATTTTACTTCTCTTGTCAATTAACCTATGACTTCACAAGTTTAAATGAGGAAAACATATTTTTAAGAGAAATGAAATACCAAATTCGTCTGAGTACAAGGAAGACACCTCTTAAGAGCTTGGAGATATATGAAATAACTGATCCTGATAATTGAGACAACATAAAACATGCTAAAGGTTAGAAACAAACATCCTCAAAATCAACCTTAAGAAGAAAAGTGTTCAATGATTTAATGTATTACCTTATAGAATAAAAGGAGCATGGTTATTCAGCAAAAGGATTCCTCCTCCTGAGATGTTCTTTCTAGTGGCCGTTATTTTTTATTCGGTTCATCTCAGACTTTTGAAGTCAATTGAATTGGTTTTGAGCTCTAAATTGACGAAGAATTCTTTTGGGTTTGGAGAACGTATCGACAGATGCATTAACATATACGGAATAATTTTCATATGCAGAGGAGAGACTACAAGCATGAATGTGATTTTGGAATTTGAAAGGGGATGTTTTCGAAATCAAAAGTGGACTTTGAATCAAGAAAATGAACGAAAACATGATACGATTCTTCTGGTGCCATAATCAGAAGAATACACATTAATGAATGCAACGAAAAATATCTTCAGATTCTTGTAAGCAAATTAAGGTATTTGGCATTGCAAAAGATACATAATTGATTAATAGTATAATGTCTTGGAAATCGTCCATTATGACATCTAAAGGTAAATATCAGAATCTAGTTTTAAAACAGGAGATACATTCTTCATTCGTATCATCGAAAAGATTCTCGTCTACTTCAATGGAAATAATATATTTGGACCATTTTAGATGATCTTAAATTGGGTGCAAATATATAGACAGAATGTTTGATTTGGCTGCTAGAAAACGAGATTATTGTCTATGTTTAGAAATTGTTTGGCTTCGTTATTAAAAAAATGTTTGACTTACATTGTCATTGAAATTCCTTGTGGTTGACATTTTACTTGGTATTTAAAAACCAACGGATTTCTTTGAAAGATTCGGTTGGTAGACCCCTAATTTTAGAATAAAAGGTAACAAAGCTTAGGTTTTTTTAGGTATATTTAACAATCCTCTTTTATATATATATATATATATATATATATATATATATATATATATATATATATATATATATATATATATATATATATATATATATATATATATATAGGGTAAAATCATATTTACAATGGTTTGTATCATATTTACAATGTAATTGCCTAACTTCATAATACTACATGGGTTTGTATCATATTTACAATGTAATTGCCTATAGTTCTTAAATTTCAAATCCATAACGTGATTACTTCCAAAATCTTTCGACTTTCACCAATATCTTTCGTTTACATCACGTCTTTCTATCGAATACCACCTTATGTGCTTCATATCCTAGCGCTACAAATGAAAGGATATAGGAGAAATATAATGATGAATTTCCAAAAAATTTTGAAGTAAATCAAGTTTAGGGATGAAGTTTAAGAACCTTGGATGATTGCAATAAAAATTTAATGCTAAATAATGTAGTTTGATGAGGTTAGGTACATAAGTTTATATAAGGTTGTTAGGTATATTCACTTTACCCATGTATATATATATATATATATATATATATATATATATATATATATATATATATATATATATATATATATATATATATATATATATATATGCCATGATGATTTAAAATGAGACCATATCATGGAATCGGGTAACTTTAAACCATAACTTTAAATCAAACCATATGTACATAATGTGACGTTTAATTCGTAAAGGGGTAGATAAAATTTAGTCTTTTCACTTACAATATGAGTCTAAGATCTGTATGCGATTTATTTACATGAAATGAGGCGACTGTTTTATATATATATATATATATATATATATATATATATATATATATATATATATATATATATATATATATATATATATATATATATATATATATATATATATATATATATATATATATACTAGCTGTAGACCCGCGCAAAGCAGCGGCGAAAAATAGTTTCTCATTCGCCAATAAGTTCTATACGGAAACATGTTAGATTTCACGTAACACAAAACATATGCATATTGTTATTGATCGGTTTTACGGCAACAAATAAATGTAACTCTCGCAATACAAAAGAAACTAAATATTTTGGTGTGTAGTGTACGTTTATAGTTCTTCATTTTAGAAATCAGGACACATCCATACGAAGTGACTTGCTTATACCTTTATTAGTATTGATAAAGTTAATAAAAGGGAGAATCAAAGTTAACCTTAACAACCCGGTTTGCTTGATACAGATAAGTCTAAACGGATATATAATATCTAAAGTTTTAAACCGAAAAATAATAAAATTAATACAACCATATTTCATGGAACATGAATAACAAATCGAATATTAATTTTCTATTAGTCATAAATCATACATAGATATTTTTTTCTTAATATTAAACAAAGTATTTGATTTTACAACTGATTGGTCAATTTCGATTAGAGGGCATAAACAATAAATAAAGCTTAAAAAAATTACAAATAAAATGGCCTATATAATGGATTATTTGTTTTATTTTAATTGGATAAGAGATCGGATCAAATTTTTGTAAGAGATAAGATTTCAAAGGTAATCAGATTAAAATTTAATATTATTTTATTCATTATTAGTTGTACTTTATACTTAGAGAGTTGAACGTCTTAAAAAATAATATTATTTTACTGGATCTATTTAAAGAAATAGTAGGATTTCTTTTATAAGTTAGTAAAGATATATATATATATATATATATATATATATATATATATATATATATATATATATATATGGGTAAAGTGAATATACCTAACAACCTTATATAAGCTTAGGTACTTAACCTCATTAAACTACATCATTTTGCATTAAATTTCCATTGCAATCATCCAAGGTTCTTAAACTTCATCCCTAAACTTGATTTACTTCAAAAAAAAATTGGAAATTCACCATTATATTTCTCCTACATCATTTCATTTGTAGTGGTTGGATATGAATCCCATCAGGCGGTATTCAATAGAAAGACGTGATGTAAAAGAAAGATATTGGTGAAAGTCCAAAGATTTTGGAAGTAATAAAGTTATGGGGTTCAAGTTTAAGAACCTTAGGTCATTACAATGTAAATATGATACAAACCAATATAGTATTATGGAGTTAGGTACCTAAGCTTATATAAGGTTGTTAGGTATATTCACTTTACCCTATATATATATATATATATATATATATATATATATATATATATATATATATATATATAGCTAGGTTATTTTGTGTTTACTAACTATTGTGTGCCAGAATGCACAGATCTGTACCACCGGATGAAATAGAATCAAAGGTCATGATCTGAGGGCATTTTAATCACACAAATTTCAGCATAAGGGCATTTTAGTCAATTAAGATAAATTTAAAAAAGGAAAAATCGAGATTTATGGGTTAATAAATGATTTTGATTTAAAAAATCTGATTTTTTTTTCAAATTAATTAAATTTCAAATGCAATTTGTAAGCATAAACGGTTTTATTCTATCAGAATGTCATTTTGTTAGAATGATATTCTATAATTCTATCAGAATGGTATACAACTATGAACATAATATTATAAACACGTATTATCAAGATCAATAATTTTTAATGAATACAAATGTTATATAAGACGAAGTTTAATAATTTAGAATAAATAATTACATTCATTCTTAAAGAATACAACTATGAACATAAATTATATTCATTCTTGAAATCTCTCGCAAAAAAAAATATCGGCATTCTTGAAAGAATCATCATTCACTTTCTTGTTTCGTTCCTAGATGTCTTGTGTATGTTTGACCTTTAAGCTACTTCAAAATATCTAGCATTCTATGAGATTGATATTTTATGAGATTTGCATTCTGTCAGAATTATGTTGCATGAGAATGATTTTATAGGAGCTGCAAAAAGAGATAAACTCGAGGATGGTAAGTGATCCCTTGGCAAAACTTCAAACATCTGAAAAACATAAGAAACAAAAATCATGTTAAAACATCAGCCAATTGCAATACAACCCTTGCAGAATCATTCTTATGTGATTATACCGGAAATACAATTCTGGTAGAATCATTCATATGTGATTTCCAAGATGATAATACTCTCCACATAATATTCTTAAAAAATGAAATAATTATTCTTACATAATGAAAAATTTGAAGATAAAAATAAACACCCAATAATTATTCTACAGAAATATTCTTATGTGATTTCCAGCACTTTATTTCATAATCGAAAAATGATTCCCTCTCTTTCAATATTGAAAGAAAATGAGAGTAATTCTAAATTTAAAGTATGATAAAATAACATAATTCATTGTTTTTATTTTGTTTACCTTAGGAGATGAGATATACAACAATAAACATTCCATCGCTAACCATGAATATAATCTGAGATTGTCATATTTCTCTTTGGCATTTCATCAAACACTTTAAGAACGCTCCCTAAATCACCACATTTTCTATGAATCATGAATGAAAAAAAAATCCAATTCAGAACCATCAACATCAAATTCATATGAAAAACAATATATTTCAACATCATTATAAAAATCTAAAACTAAAAGTTGAAATTGTAGAAATTGGCTAGTTGGAAGAATGAAGAAAAAAATTGTTTTCTATGGAATGGAATTGCAAGTCTCGTAAATTAAATTGTAGAAATCTCTTTGACCAACTATTGGAGATAGAAGCTAGCTTCAATTGGAGATGGAGTCGTCGAGAATAACATCTTCATCTTGTCAACGGAATGGGGAAACAGATTTGCAGTTTCTGATCCACGGCTTCTTCTTCATTTGTCAATAAGAAAAGAAATTGGGAGAAGGCAGAAATAGAATATGTATCATATGAGAGGCTAGGGTTAAATAATTGGTCAAAGAGATTTTTATGGTAATTTCCATGAATTAAGGGATTTTATTTTAATTGTTATGCTAAAGTTATCTAATTACCCTTATAATAATTTTTATTTATTTAATTATTTCTAAATTCCTATTGGTGCATTCATGCACACAATAGTTGCTAGAAACATTTGAACCAAGCTCTCTCTCTCTCTCTCTCTCTCTCTCTCTCTATATATATATATTATATATATATATATATATATATATATATATATAT